TATTTATTATACTATATATAGTATATTATATATAGGTAAACACCATACTATAGATAGCATTTGGACATGGGCAGGCTTAATTTTGTTACTTCCAATTTTTGCGTGCTTGAGTTGGCAAACTTAAATCAATGCCATTGTAATGTATGCATTTTTGTATGTATTTGCAATCAGAAAATGAATGGTGAAATTCAAAATCTTCGGCTCCATTACAGGCACTGCAGAGGATGTGCTTTTTAATTGGTACAGACTTTTCTGCAGGTTTGACTTTGTACATTTTTGCCTTCAGATTGTCCTAACACAGTTGCCTCACTTTTCTGTCCCTGGCAGCTTCTTTTACCTTCCTTCTCCTAAACTAGCCTCTCTGGTTTAGCTATGCTCTAACTGTCCCCCAAGTTTCTCTTTCCCACACAAGTTCCAGTCTTTTTCCTGTCCCATTTCCACTCTTCTCCCTTTATTCCCTAGTCTTTTGTTCCCGACATCTCTTCTGTAAATAACTTGCTGTATGCCATCCATCCGTGTTGGAATTTGCCTCAGCAAGGTGGTTTCTTTTTCGTACTGTCTGAGGAATAGGGTGAGGCGTTATGAATGTAGGAGAAAGAGCTTTCCATTTCACAGGTGTAGACGCAGGAGATAGCCGTAGCCTCTGGATTATACTCAATGCATAGATTTTCAATTACAATTTAGTAATTGTTATTGTAATTTTTTACCCTCCTCCCACTGCACTCTTATCCCTCCCACATGTGGTGTGGCCAGATGCCTTACATTTTCACAGGAATACTAAAAGGATATCAAAGGTCTTGGTTTGCCAAGTTTTAAGTCTGATCTCCAAAAAGTAGGATTTTCCAGCAGTGTGCAGCTTCAGGCAGACACCCAGCAAAGAATATTTCAGCCTACGTGATTGAAGTGTGATAGGATTAAAGATGAGAGGATGGTTTTGTCAGGAGTAAGATGAGATAATCGTAGAGCAGACAATGCCTCTAGTCTCTTCTGTTACGAAGGTAGCCCGGCACGTTCCGTACAGCTACAGCTGAGGAAGTTAAGGAAACAAGTAGCACGTTAACCCCAGCCTCACTGTCATCATGATCATAACTTGGACTTCAGTCGTATCCCTGAAGGTGACGGTTTCTTTGATCTCATGAGTAATATTTGCACCCAGCTACAAACCTGGTTAGGTATCCTAAGCAGCCCTGCTTTGTCGTGCCCCCAAGTTCCCATCATCTGCTTCTGTCCTTGTTTTTCGTCAAGCCTTTGTGTTAAATTCCCTCTGCCCGTGTCCATCCTGCTGTAGCGCTTTCCTCTGAATATTGAGGATGGCTCTCATCCCATCCAAGACCTAGCTGAGTTTATAAAAGCAGTGAGGTTGGATTACTGTTTCTCTTCTGAGTCCCCACAGTGTATGCAGGCTTGTGAAATGTAATGTCATCTCCTTGACCTGTGAGCAGTCTGGCTTACATAATAATTTATAGACATACGGTCAATATATAGGTTTTAGGCCAGAGAAGACTGAGGAGAGATAAAATAGCATTCAAATGGCTAGAAGGGATAGTTGCTGAAAAGATAAAACAAATTAATCAATAGGGCAAGAAACAATACGTTTAAGTTATAGGAACAGTTGCATTAAATGCTAGGAAAAATCTTCCAACTATAATTAATTTCCTTATAGTTGGATGGAATAGTTTGCTTACAGAGGTTTTGAAATTGCTACTTTTCTGGGATTATAGAAAGAGTTTAGAGAAATACTTAAGAGAAGTAGCATAGGTAGACCTGATTCTGCCCTGGGGCACAAAGAGAACTAGATGATTTCCTGGGGCAGCCCCACTGGGGTTGTGTGTGGGGTTATTCTTTATTTAATAATCAGACTAGTCTCAACATCTGAATTTTCTCAGATAGGGTATTTTACAATAAATCTAATCCTGAAGTGACAGTACCATGGGTAATAGTGGCATGGTTACCATTGAAGGGAAAATGTCATATATCTCCTGCCAGGTACAGATGGAAAAATGTGCCTGTGGCTACTGCTGTTGCCTTGGCATACAGAGCAATCCGGGATCTACTACTCCTCTTAGCCTCATAACACAGACCTAGTTTGCAAATGGAGGTTGCGCTCTTTATATGGGCAACCGTACAAGTTCCATCAATTCCTCTGACTGCTTTCTTCACCTTAAGATTATTACCTGCTACCTTTTGTTCAAGCCCATGGTTATATTGCCGTTCTGTCTTCCCTTATTTGTGCTGGATACATGCCGGATAGGCATACATAAGCTATATGTATTTTATCTAAGTAATTTCATTTGCTTTTCACTTGTTAACTGGCAATGCATAAAAGAGGCAATGTTGTGTATTTCTTTAGAATGTCAGCTAATGAAAACAGAGCGACCGAAGCCAAACACATTCATTATCAGATGTCTGCAGTGGACCACTGTCATAGAGAGGACATTCCACGTAGACACTCCGGAAGAACGGTGAGGGTTTTATTGTTGTTTTGCTTTTCATGTTCTTTACGCAGAAGCCTTGGCACAGTCTCTCCTGGGACTCCATGGCGATCAGCACTTGGAACTGTGAGATTCTGAGCACTTGGTTGAAGATTTTGTAAGTCAGTTTCTGTAAAATATTATTTGAGCTCGTAGCCAGTACAAGAGTTGCCTGTGAGTAGGTGGGATGAGTGTGTTCAAATAAGCCAAAACTGTGTCATGATATTTGAAGTGTTAAATTTTGAACAATAAAAGCCTGCGTTGAATGAAGTATTTTCCAGCCTCACTATCTTAAATTTTCCTTTTACTCCTCCTAATATGCTCCTTTTTTTGGCACAGAAAGCAGTATGTTTATTGTAACTTACTTTATGTTTGCATATTAATTTTTCTTGTTTCAGTGAACATACGCAAACTCTTAAGAATTAACTTTTTGAGTGCACCAAAAGCACATAGGAGATACAGGATGGTGTACCTTCCTAAAATGTTCTGTACGGTGTCTCTGCTTAGATGCACTGAGTCTTCCCATTGTGGGCATCTGTCCTGTTGAGACTAATACTACGATTTGGCTTTATTCATATTGTTGGTATCAATAAATAACCGACAACTTTGCTTCTTCTCTTGTTTCTCTTTTGTTAGTATATTCACTGAGAGTGATTTTTTTTTTTATTCTGCCTTGGTGCTGTTTCTCCACCCTCTCTTTCTGCCGTGGGTGCAACGTAGTACCTCACCCTGCACTGGGCAATAGCTCGGGGCTGCTCCCGCGTCCCTTGCTGGCTGAGCAAACAGCTGCAGGTGCAGCAGTCGGTGCGGGGCTCCGGCCTGCGGCTGGGGTCGGGCTGGTGGGCCAGCCGGCAGGGAAGCCATGGGCTCGCCTGCCCCTGCTCATCCCTTCTCGGAAGCCGTCGTCTGGGCCTGCCCCTCCCTGCAGCTGCTGGCTCTCATGACGGTTATCGGAATTTAATTATCTTTGAGGGCCTCTTTCTCAGGGGAATTTGAAATTAGCCAACAAGTTGAGTTTTAAGAGGAGACAGACAAAGAGTTGAACACAGGACGTGGTTTAATAAATCTGTGAAAATGTCTTGCAGAGAGGAGGAATACCAAAAAGTCTCTTAAAATAGCAAGTTATTACCAGATAGTATCAGACAGGAGATGACGTTCTGTGCTCTGAGCTCTATTATACCTGGAGCAAGTTTTTTCAGGTTTTCAGTATTAAAATATTTCAAAATCAGGCACTGGTAATTCTTGAAATTAACTGTGCCGTAATCCCTTTCAATGCTGGTCAACTTCACCACCTTTACCATAATGCAGAATTTGGAAGGAAATTGAAGTGATTAATTTATGTAAGTCTTCTGCCGTGTAAGAATTGAACACTGAAGCAATGTAGCATGTGAAAAACATGATAAACCATTCATTTGGATGTATTTTACAAGTTTCTAATAGGGGTGTTGGCTTGTTCATGATAGGGAAGAATGGACAGAAGCAATCCAGGCTGTAGCAGACAGACTTCAGAGGCAAGAAGAGGAGAGGATGAACTGTAGTCCAACTTCACAGATAGACAATATAGGAGAAGAAGAGATGGATGCTTCAACTACCCATCATAAAAGAAAGGTAATGACATCAAAAAGTAACTGACAAGACTAATATGTAAATAACTTTTGTTGAATGGTCTAGTTGGGTAAAACAATATACGGGAAATAGTATTTCTACACAAATTTGAGTGTATTACAAGCATAAAAGAGCTTACTTGTACATCAGTAAAGCTGAACTGCTCTAGTTTTATTTATTTGTTATGCTGTCTGATAGAGCACTTCTGAAAAGCAAAGTTCAACTGTTCAGGCACATGTTAACATTCTGCTTGTTATCTGAATATTATTTTCCTCTTTTCCTTTTTGTTTGTGTACTTTTTTAGAAGTATGGTAATAAAATATTTTCTTTAGACAAGTAGATTTGCCCCCTTTCTCATGCAAATAATACCCAGTACAAATTAGATAATTTGCATGAGAAGGGCTATCAGGATTTGACTTTTAATGACCTTGTTTTTTGCTATCTGTGAAAATAACTCTGCTTTAGTTTCCAATGAAGTAAGAGAAGCCAATGCTTTATTTTTTTGCAGTCCTTCACAGCTTTTGGTGTAAGTAGGAATATGTACGTTGTTGGCTATAACGTGCTTGTATCTCCAGAGTCAACAGGATAAACACACAGCTAAGAGCATGTTTTAAGGACCCAGTGCCACACAAAAATTTGCCTATTATTTTGTGTTTCCATTTTGCCCTGTGTTTCTGTAAGTACAGACTAGTCTTGAAGAATGGATCATTCAAATGGATGACTCTCATTTACTATACAGGACTGACATGACTCGAGATGCATTGGAATTGCATGAGAAATAATAACCTGTTTCTGTAGGACTGGCTTCATTCTTTCTAGCTTGAAGTGAAACCTGTAGAAAACTAGGTGTAAGTCTGCTGACAGAACAGAACAGTCTTACAGCTAATGTACATGAATGCCTTTGAATGATGAACAATGAAAAGAAATAGTGAACGTATGCCTTTACTTATGGAGCATGTTTTGTTCGTTGCAGTATATGAAGCAAGAGTCATAGAAAAATCCGTGACTGAAAACTGTGCTCTTATGAATATAACAAAGGTGTCACAGGAAATCTTAGTTCTGTCGTGTCCTGACTTTTGAGAACTTGAGTTTGCAGTGCAAACATGGTTCTTTCATGTTGTTTCATTGTATGCAATTTTCTAACCTTTTTTCTGCTGTAGAAAAGGTAAAACCTAGTTATATACAGCTGTAACAATACTCTGCTCGTACATCGTCAGGTTGACATTGAACTTTTAGCCTTGCGGCATCAATGTTTAATGATTGTGCTCCAGGGTGAAATACGACAAGTGACAGCAAGACAGAGGCGGTGTTCCAGACGTGTCAGTCTGCTGAGAGGCAGTGCGGTTATGTGGAAGGGATTTGGGCTTGCTCTATTAAAGATCTGAGCACTGTTCCAAGACTGTGTACCCTCTTAGTGGAGTACAAAACCACTGCGTAACAACAAGCATTTTCAAGGTGTCAAAAATAATGCTGTCTAATATAAGTAGTTCATCTGGAGCGTACGCTTTCCTTGCTCACAGTGCAGTGCATTTTCCCGTACAACAAAAGAGGTTGTCGGACAGGAGGAGGAGGAGGAGGAGGAGGAGGAAGATTGGTTTTGTTTCTGTCTTGCTGCTTGTGCTTTAAGAAATGCTGAAATAAGATGCTGGGACAGTGCATGTGCAGTGCTGCAGAATATTTAATGGCTTTGGCAACAAGCCAAAAGCAAACTCTGCAAAACAAAAGTGAAATGAAAAATGGTGATATTCCACACCTAATCATAGAGCAGAATGGAGTTTTTGTAGCCAGTAAAGAACATACTGATGACAGCAAGGATATTTTTTTTTCTTTTTTTTTCTTTTTGCCAAAACTCAAAATCCCACTGCAGATTTCTGACTGTTGGAGTACTTCAGCGAAAGGTTGTCAGAAGTTTTTGGAATCAAAAATATTAAGTGACATAATGATGGTGAGTTGTCACTCCGTCTGTGTTAATTGAAATTGGGAAAAATAGATTTTTTTAGAACTGCTTCTGTTTTGTAGAAATGTTTCTGAAAAGCTTCTGTTTAAGCTTTTGTAGTTGTTAATATAATCAGAATGGTTTCAGTTATAATGACAATGCATTTTTACTGCCTTTTTTTTTTCTTGGTATCGGATTTCTTCTAATTTCTGGGGGGTTTTTTTTTGCACAATGTGTCCTACAAGCTTGTTTTTTCACCTGATTTTACATCCAAGCCCAGTGAATTTTGCTTGTGCATGCACCAGATGGTATACATATGAGTAGAAGAGCATAATCAGATTAAGAAGCAAGACAGAGAGGAGTGGGCCTGTTGTCTCTAAAAAGGTAGCAAAAGGTTTACGAGGAAAACAGTCTTTAGGCTGCAGAACTTGATTTGAACAGACATGACAGCAATGTCCCTGGCCAGATTAGCTGGAAGAACCAAACGCACGCTTACTTTTTTTTTTTTTTTTAATGATGTCAGTGTGCCACTAAAGTTTCACAGTAATAGCGTCACTAAAATTCAGACTACTAGAAATTCTTAGCAAACTGCTTTTACTTCTTGTTGTACTATTCTTTGTAAGTAGAGCTTCTTCCTGATGAAGTCAGATGAAAACTCCCAAGTGGTATAATCTTTGTGCAAAACAGGAATTTTTAAAAATTAGTTTCTTGCTTAGGAATTTTCAACACCTGTAGTAGGGTGTATTCTTTTGAACAGATCATCCATAGGGGAGTAAATAGGCTTTACAGAACGCTGAATATTGTATGGTTCTTTGGTTAGTGCCGTTTCCTGTAGCTTTATTGCTTTTCTTTTGTTTACAAATTTGTTTTTGCAGGGTGCAGGATGAGTAAAGAATAGATTTTTCAGAGGAAACCAAAAAGTAATGTAATGAGGAAAAAGATTCAATCCTCAGGAGTTTGGTAGGAATGAAAAAGGTGGGAAAATCATCAAGGAGAAGGAATCCAATCTTATGGGAGCCTCCAGACTTGCTTACCAACATTCCTCAGGTTTAGGAAGCATTTCCATTTTTTCCACCAGTTTTCAGTACACCCTTAGCTATGGCATCTGTGTTTTTATCTCCTAAGGTCTTGTATTCTTTGGCAGACTTTTTGAGTTACCCTGCACTGTGTATCATCCCTAAGCCTTCTGCTGAGCTTCTAAAGAATGAGAGCACCAGGAGGCTTTATTCTTAGAACTAGCACTACCGCCATAACCTGCTGTTAAGCCACGGCTCAAAATCTTGCAAACCTATTACCTTCCTCCTATAAATATACATACTTTTTTTTAAACTTGTTTTTGCTGAGCTTGCAGCTAGATTCATCGCTGCTTTATGTAAGCAAATTTTGGGCGAATGAGTCTTTCGATTTGACTGGCTTGCTGCCCTTAGCATCAAACCCATGTCTGTGATCAGTTGAGCCAGGATCCTCCTTCTGTGTGCAGACAAAGGGCTGCTTTTATTCAGACTCTGATGGTCCCTCTCTAAGTCCAGCCTCTCAAAGAAGACCAGAAGTATGGGAAGAAGTTCCCCCTTTGAGGCTGCTTATGATCCCATAAATTTTTGACTGTTAGAAGTGGTAAGTTGTTCTGGTCACTAACTCAGTATTCTTATCAATAAAGCTGTTGACCATTCTTTGTCAGGGAACGCGATAGCTTATGGCTGAAGATATGGAGGATTCTGCCCTGAATTACTCGTCTTCTGCCTGAATTGTGTTTTGAATGCATTTTGGATTTTTCGTGTCGTTTTGTCAGTTTTCATTGCTTTAGCACAAAGGCAGTTGTTTTTGCTTGATGGTTATCATAGAACTATCGAAGTAGATAACCTGACTTTCCAAAGTACTGACTGTGATATTTAGTCTTGCCTTTTTCGCTTTAGTGCTAGTAGCCGCATAATGTTTGGATCACAACTTTACATACTGTATCGTGCATCTCTAGTTGTAACACATTGTACTACTAGCTTCTGGAAAAGTCGATCATTTAAGGATTTGTCTCTGGTCATTAACTTTACACTCACTCGTGTGGATTTGCTTTAGGTAAAAAGTACACTGAGCCTTTGAAATCTCTGTTACTCCTATTTCTTACTGGGATAAATGCAGTTTTGTTCTTCCTGATGTGAGGTGGTTTTGGCAGCAGAACAAGATCTCTCAGTGCAAAATGTTTCAGTATGAGCAAAGAATGGAGTTCACCAAGGTGAGTTTGCTTGGAAGCTACCAATCAGCTATTACATGGGAAAAAGATTTATTGTAGCTGGAAAATTGATATATGGAAAGCATCTTCTCTTTATTAATGCTTTGAAATGTCCAGCTATCCAGGTGTTACCTTAAGCAGTCTGTTGGAGACCTTTTGCAGCTTTTAAGTTGCAGGTTGGACACTTAAAAGCTAAGGAATTACAGCATTAAAGTGGTTGATGGAACTTCAGTTGTACTCCTTATGTGAGCAGATTTCAAACTGACTCTGAGTGAGCAATTGCATAAATTGTTTTCACAGTTTGTCGACAGCAACTTCAGATTTGTGATAATAGTATCATGCACTTGAGCTTAAAGGAATAAATAGTTTCAGAAGGAAGTTTTGCTCTCTATTCTTTCTTACAAGAGAGAGTATATTTTGCTACCACTGTTTCTGATTGCACTCTGGGGATATGCCCAATAGCTCTGCACTTGGGATGTGTGTGAGATATGGAGGCACTGTTAGGGCTGTTTCTGGCAGGGATAAGGAAAGTACTAATTTCATTGCGGAAGGCACAAGTAGGAGTTTATCTGGAATGCTGGTGATCCAGAAAACTGCCTGAGGCTGCAAGTAGTGATAGAAAGAGGCCCTAGGAAGATGGAAAATAAGGCACAGTCTTTTCTTTTCCTCACACATAATAGGATTAAATATATTTAACTTAGCAAAATGGAGACTCAGAGTATAATTACTCTATAAATCATAGAATCATAGAATCATTATGGTTGGAAGAGACCTCAAAGATCATCAAGTCCAACCGTATACCTGATGCCACCATGCCCACTAAACCATGTCTTGAAGTGCCACATCTAAACGTGTTTTGAACACCTCCAGGGACGATGACTCCACCACCTCCCTGGGGAGCCTGTTCCAATGCCTAACAACTCTAACAGTGAAGAAGTTCTTTCTAATGTCGAGCCTGAAGTTTTGAGCTGTGTTATTCACAAAGGAAGGAAGGCTATTGATACTGCAGGACAGTACTATAACAAGAATAGGGGAGTGTGTTGTGTCTTTCAGAGCTTTTAACTGCCTTCCTTAAGGTTCCTGGGTGCCTTAACAGTCTGTGTGTGGTTATGGGGTGCTGCAACCAAGCCAGTGACACAGTGGGCTGAAAGATGTGCTGTGGAAGCACACAGTGGAAGCCAGTGATTGGCTCCAAGCTGGCGAAAGAAACCATGCTGTCAATCCAAGGTGACCCCGTGCAGTTGCTGCATTCTCGGTATTGTACTGTTTTTTCAACATCCTCATCTTTGCATCTAATGCATAGACCATAAGGTTGATGCTTCTGAACTGACTGTGAAATAAACTTGCAGAATTAAGATGATTATTGACTCAAGCTTTGTGCTCATGAAAGTGGCTCAGCTCCTTTGGGATCTGAGATCGTCTGGTCCTATTTTTGTGATATGTGACACTCCAGTTGAGCTGATAAAGCTACTGGACCCAAATTGTCTGTTGGTAGAACCAGCTCTTGGATGTACTACGTTTAACCTGCAAAACTAGGGTGATACTAGGTGCTTGAACAGTCACTATAATGGAGTCACATGAAAGAGGAAAACTTACCACCTCTTCCTTTTCAAGGCCAGACCGATTAATGTAAAAACCATGTAATTGTAGTCTCTACTCAGATTTTTAAAAGTCCACCCCTGATGCAAAGACTGTTTTAGAGTTTTACTGGTATAATATAGCAGTGAGGATCACGGATGTTTCAAAAAGGCCATCAGTGCAGTGGTTGGTGTTATGCAAAACCTACTGATATGCCATGTTCTTGTGTCCCTGGTAATAACACGAATTGATGAGCATTCTTAGATGTGGAGCGTTCATGGAATGGTGGTTATAGATGAAGACTTTGTTCTGTGTGTGCTTTATAAAAATACGTGTGTGTGTAATACACTGTGCAGTACATGACTTTAGAGTGCTATAATAATAGTATCCAACAATATATCCTAGTGGTATAAGGATGCAGTTAACTGTTACGAACTTAACTGTAGAAGTATACCTGTTTTTGTAAACTGTTCTTACTATGTTGGTAACAGCATTTGGTTATATGCAGACACAGTCACGTGCATATTGGAACTGGATAGCATGAGTCTTGCTAATCCTTGTTCTTTGCTCCTTATAGACAATGAATGATTTTGACTATTTAAAATTACTGGGCAAAGGCACGTTTGGCAAAGTTATCCTGGTCCGAGAGAAGGCTAGTGGGAAATACTATGCTATGAAGATTTTGAAAAAAGAAGTCATTATTGCAAAGGTAAGGAAGGTTATAGTTTTAATATTGGGTCGTTTTTTTTTTTTAATGGAATAATGAATATGTAATAGATAACGTGTATTTGATTTTTGATGGTAACTGAGTTTGATAGACCTATGTGTGTATCTTCAGAAAACAAAAATACAAAAAAAATGATGTGTACCCATTTTGCATGGCTTTTGCTGGTGTCTTATAATCTAGAGTGTGCTAAAGCATTGAGAGAGTTCATTGGGCAGGAAAATAGCGAGATCCAAGTTTAAAACAAGAAAAAAGTATGTTGTAGGGTAGATTACATACTTCAAAAATTTTTCTAAGTCAATTGCAGGTTTATTTAGGTAAATGCAATTAATTTAATGGGCATGTGCTCTCTTCCTGCTGTGTTAGATGAGATTGCTGTGCATGGGACTAACAATTTCATTTTTTCAGTTTTTGAGGAACAAGAAAAGCCTGAAGCAGATGTCTGAAGAAGTGGTTTTAACTGACATTGCCCGGTCACTTAAGCTTGATGAGTTTAGTGTTACTAGCTGTTTAAACTAAGTTTAAACTTGAAGATCATCTATTCTGAGCTTTGTTTCTAGCAGTTCTAAAGTTTTGAATCCCACTTGCACAGAACAAGTAGAGAGCAAGAAACCTACATACTCTTATCACTCTGAGACACAATTAAAAAAATCCCAGTTATTAACTAAGGAGGTTTTTGAGGGATGTGGATCTGACTGAGATTTTTGAATGCTTGAGGCTAACAATACCAGTACTCCTAAAAACTGGATGTGGATGGGAACTACTGTGGTTTACATATATTTTATTTTAAAATATCCTTCAGATTTTTCTAATTTTCCTATTGGCCTATGAAAACAGAGGTTACAGAGTTTTGCAGTTTATCTATTACGTTCATTTGTGTAACTGTCACTCTCTTTCTAATAACTTTTGAATGTGTTGATCAGTTTCGATTAAATTTGATAGAGGAGTAGAAACTTCAAAGACAATTACGTTTCCTTGAGTTTCATTAAAACCAGCCCTGGCGTAGGGGGAGAGACTTACATTTATGTCTTCAGCAGAGGCTGACCTGCGAGTTCTATGTGCCCTTAGCAGCTGTCTTGTGTACACTGGCAGGCTAGTCGGCATCTATACAATTTGGACTGACAGCGAGAGTGACCTTTTTTTCTTTGTAATCCGGAAATACAGAAAGGAAAGAGGGTATCGCTGCTGCGTTCTCCTGATTCTGCACGGGAAGGAGAAGCTTGATGACTCTCCTTGTAGGACTTTATGAACGGCAGCAGTCTCTGTGGGCTGCCCTGTGGGTCTCGGAGTCAACCTGGTTGCCGCGGGCTGTGGCCAGGCTCCAGCCAGGGGTCCTTGCCCAGCGCTCTGCTCCAGGCACCTGGGGACTCGTCAGGGTAGCCTCATGTCTGACTGCTGGGAGCTTCTGTTTTGCTGCTGCTCCTTCGTACCCTTCCAGCCTTCTGAGCATTTCAGCTTGTTTCTTTGTAAGAACAAAATACAAAACACATTTTTGAATTTTAAGGTTTTTCCTTTTACATTGCTGGCTGCTACAGTATCAATGAATTTTTAGAAGAGTTAAAACTGATTCTCAGATAACTTTGTCTGTCTCTGTTGAGGGAAAATTCTTGTTCATAGAAGTATGTGTAAAGCCAGAGAAACTTTGAAGAGATCAGGGATGCAACTCTTCATCGATCTGTTTACCTGAAAACAGAAAGCTATCTCAATGATAGATTTGGCAGAACCTGGCACTCCCTGAAGCAGACCACAGTCTGTTTTTCTGCCTGTTTGTAGACTGACAAGAAGATTAAGTGTGTGAGGAAAGATGCTTTTCACCCTGTGATGAAAATGGGGGCACCTCAGTCTTTTAAATTTCACTTCCTCAGAACTGGAATTTTGTTTTGAAGGCAGTCCCTCTAAGTTTTCCATAGTGTGGTTGTATATTGGTAAGAAACTGTTGAAAGAATAAGGAATAGACTGTACTTAGATCTTCGCAAGTGAAGTGATCATGTTTTTTTTCCCCTGTTACCACCAAATACCAGTTTTTCCACTCCTCCCCAAACTAAAAACAAAAGCAGACTTGAGCCTGAACTTAGCTGTCTAGCCCAGTCCGTGTGTAAGTATGCTATGGGGATTTTTCAATAACATTTAACTCTGGAAATCAGTGCTAAGGATACAGTCACTAGGTAGAACAAATCTGCAATCCCAACTAAGTCTATAATGTGATATAATATACAGTGCAGAAGGTCATACCTGTAACAGCATAATACGAAGCAGAAAAGTGGTGCATTGACAGCTGTATCTAGAAGATTGTATAGCATCTGCCCAGTTCAGACTAAATCTGTTGATCCTAAATTTTCATGCAGATTAATATTACACTTACCAGGAAGTTGCTACCAGTATTACAGACTTCTAAGGCAATGGCAGAAAAACTGGCCACTGAGGTTTAAAAATAAACAAACAAATAAAAAAAACTTTAGGCTTGCTTTTCTCCTAGATGTATTTTTTGTTTTTCCTCCAGTATGTGGTTGTAGTGCATACACTCGGTGTTGCACTGCTGTTCAGCTAAATGGCGTCATCGTTTATTACCGCTAACTCTGTTGTTGTTGTTTAACTTCCTATTTTGACAATTTTTGAAATCTAATTTAAAACTCCTGACATCTGTGTTTACTTCCTAGTTTAATAATACCTTATCTTCAGAACATAGTCTGATAAGCATGTGTAGTACAATATAATATTGGTATCATTTGTGGCAATAATAAAGTATAGTCTGACCAACTATATTTACTTCTGCAGGATTATGATTGAAGTTTGAGTCGCCCTAAGTTAGCCCTCAATTCTATATAATACAATACTCGGCGGTAGCTTAGTACTACAGAAAATGGCTAAACCAGGCCAGTGGCTCTCAGGCTTTTTAGATCCGGCCCCTGGCAGCCTGGAGAGGGGGGATTCGCAGCATGTATTGCACGCAGAATCGCATAAAATGGCTGTGTATTCTTAATATGGAACCCCTAAGTGCCCTGCTTCTCTGCCTAGGCCTCAGG